TGGGCGCGCCGCGCTTCAGAAGTAAATGACCCCTGCCTATAAGTATTCCTGTTACTAGGTACATCTTCCTCTGCTTCCAGTTTTGATAATCCTAGTTTCAGTACTGCACCAGGCAGCTGCAATAAAAGTATTGTTAATTATTTCTAAATATTATATTGAATGTATGGGATTTGTTGACAAATTGGAAATATCTGCCTGATCTCCACATTTATAGTTCAATGAATGATGCATCTTACCTTCTTTGGTGCACAGAAGGGATATCACGCTGTTGCTTCTGCATGGCAACCTTGATTAGAGGGGAAAAAACAAGTTTTCATGAGAGATAATTCCATTAACTCAGATGGCACTGCTGCTTATTATATAAACTGCTGCATCATTTACCTGCTGAATATCTCACATGAGGCACCAGTTGTCTTCTACTCTCATTAAATAATCATTACATCTCCAAATACAGGATGTTGGGACTGTTTCTGTTGTCATACCAGGCTGGACTGAAATAGTTCTAGATAGTCAGTTAAACGCCTAATGCAAAAAGGGAATACTTGCCACCTGCCAATAGTTGTCCAATTCCTTGAGATCCAAGGATGGCTTTTCCAGAGCTGTCTCCATCAAAGGTTGCTGGCACTACCCTCTCGTTTAAAAATGTACTTATGACTTCCTTTACCAACACAATTAATCCCCCAATGTCACACCTTGGATCACAAGGACAGTGCAATTTATGTTATTCTCACTACACTCCCTTTCAAGTTGCTAGAGAACCTAAACTCAGGGCATTTGCAGTCGACAGAGATCACATGTGCTGAATGTGCACACTGGTTCCTAGCCAAAGTCATGTGCAATTACCCTAAACACGAAGTTAACTGAAAACATGGGATATAGTAGTAAAATGCAAGACCAGATTAAACTACAAAACAATGTGCAGATGACTTGTATTTAACTTTACATATCCAGCATTAGTGTTACCTATAGACATGTAAAGCATTTTACACTTGTTTTGCAATCCAAATCAAAATAATGCAACAGTGCGACTCAACCGAAGGCAGTGGCTGAAAAGCACATTCCCATCGTAATCACAATGAGAATGGAAATGTATACCTCCACCTGTATCTTGAAGTATAACTGCAGGTTATACTGGATGCCTCCTGTCTGACTGTGCTGCGCAAAATGGATGTGTAGCTGCATCCAGACAAAACTCACTGTCTAGCACTGGAATCTGCCATGCTGGATCAGGGTTGTTGGCAGTGTTACCTCTAAGCTGAGTTAGTGTGAGCTAGCTCACAGTTTTTTAGCCTCCAGCTCACACGTTTTTGTCTTAGCTCAGGAAGGAGGGCTCCAGAGCAAACTAATTTATGCAGTAGCCAAATCGCTCGCTCACAACTTCAATGCCAGTAGCTCACAAAGCAAAATTTTTGCTCACAAGACTCCACAGCTTAGAGGGAACATTGGTTGTTGGACTATAAATTAGCAACCATACAGAGCACAGCAGTAGAAAGCGATCAGTCTCTTACCCTGCCACTAAAAGGGAGTGAACGGTTGATGCATTTTTGCTTTCCCGTTCAGATGGCAGATTCAACCAGTTCTCATGATGTAGCTGTTTATAATCTGGTACAATTTCTGTCACAGGTGGCCCCCTGAAACAAACACAAATGCAGGGCAACTCAGTACATTTACTTTTATTAAAACCTGAAAATCATGGAAATGTAATTCTTTTTTTTTTTTATAAGTACCCGAGGGTACACTTTTATTATTTTTTCCATTATATACTACAGACATACAAACATACATACAAACAACCCCCATCTACCCCCCACAACATATAACATATCACAAAAGACTTTTTCATTTCTTCTGCTGGTTAGATTTCTAAATTCATTATCTATTTTACTCCACTAAGCTTATCTTTTCTGCGTTCTCAAATTACTACATTTATTTATCAGTTGCCTTTACATTATACCAATCGTAGAATCTCTTCCAAGTTTTTTGAAAAGTCCATTCTGTACCAGCTCTCATCTCAAGTGTCAGTTTGTCATTTTCCGCCGTTTCAAATATTTTGTTCACGTACTCTTGTTTCGTTGGTATTTCCATTGTTTTCCAATATTTGGCATATACTATCCTTGCAGATGTTGACATATGAATGATCAAATACCTATCTGCTTTATCAAAGTCTTTCAGAAATATATTCAATAACACAGTATCTCTGGAGTAAACGGGGTATTAGTTCTTGTTATTTTTTCCATTATCTCATGAATCCATCTCTAGTACCTCTTTATAACATCACATAACCACCACATGTGATAAAAAGAACCAATTTTTACATTTCCAACATTTGTCAGAGCAATTAACATTTTGTTTAGCTAATTGAAAATGTAATTCTTCAGTGTTTCAACTTGCCTGGAAAACTGCTTCATGTACAGGCCCTTGCTTACTCTGAAACTGCACACCAGGAGTATCCACCTAAAAGCTCTTTACCATCTGTACAGTTATCCGCACATGCAGTGTTTGAACACCAGATCAGGGGCCCACCACACTGGTTAATCAGGTTCTAACTTTAGGGTGTTTTTCAGCTTTGCTCTTTCTCTGTGGAAGATTTTTCTCTGGCCTTCATGTGATGGTAAGTATCATCTAGATTTGCTCTTTATATCCTAGTTGTACAGATACTTTAGGGAAAGCTTTTGCCAAGTCTGGACCAGATACCTTTTTATTATTCT